AATGAGCGTAAATACTAAATGCTGTTTGTGTCTTTGCGCATGTTTGTAGTGCAAAAGACAAAGACCTGATTGAAATAGCAATTAAAATGTGGTGCTTCTGCTGAATTATACTGTGTTAGGAACGTAAATCGAATGGATAATGGTTTCACTCCCAGTGTGGTTCTTCTGGACTCATAATATCAGTATGAATATAGTTGTTCCAAGAATACATTGTTTTAAAAAAAAGCTTGTGTTTGTGTGTGTGTGTGTGTGTATGTGTAGTTAGAGCAAAAGAGGAACTATTACTGATTCAAAATGCAACGGAAAAGTGGGTGAGCTAAAGAACAACTATTGTGTATTCCTTGTTCCATTAAAGGAGCAGTATGTAAAAATCTGGTCAAAAGTGGTACTGCAGCCTCTCCCACTCTCCCTGACTCAGGTTGCCAGATATGCAGACGAATCCAGCTGGAACCGTAATAACTGAATACTCAGGAGTTTTGTCAACAACAAATCTATAACCAACACCTTTTTCACAAAGATAGAAATCCTGGTTTTATTCCTGGTTTTGTTATTAATGATTTTGAGAATCATAACTTTCTAAGAGGCCTTTCTTAGTTCTGCGGCCACATGTTACTTTACCAGTGAGATTAGCTCGACGCGGTGAGTTCTGGCGCTCGGATCAAGAACTTTCTGATTGGTGAAAGGGTGGAGGGCGGGACATCAAAATGAAAACAATAATAACGGCTTATTAACCAAGCGCAAGGTCTGTATGGAGAAATATCAGACCGTGGCCTTAATGTACAGACCGAGCCGTGGCGAGGTCTGTGCAAAAAGCCCTCGCCAAGCAAAAAGCCCTCGCCACGCTCTCCTCTGCGTCCTCTAGCCTCTACAGCGCTGGTAAACACTAGGGCTTTGACTTCAAAATAGTATAGTAGAATAGTAGACAGCCTTTAATATTTGAAATGTATTATTAGCCCCGTGTTATTAGCCGACACGGTAGCCAAACGCGCTTTGATGACGTCGCTGTTTACGTTACTGTTGCTCACCTGCCAATCACCTCAAACATGATTCAAATATTTAGTTTTATTTTATTGTGAAAGTTTGTGATTGGATAAGTGTTGTGTGTGTCGTACAATTTGTGGTGCGTTCAAAACCAGCTCTACCAATATATGTGTGTTATCTCTTGTTGTAAAGCTTGTTTTTTGTACACACTCGTTACTTGTTTTTGATTATGGCACAAAATTGAGTTGCTAATGTAGCCAACGTCAACCTTATTAAAGCTGATTTTAAATTTCAAAACAGTTTTTCAATCCAGGTTCTTTGCCCCTGGACGAGTCGGGTAAACTAAAGTGGCCCTGTTGCACAAAAAGTTTGGACACCCCTGACCTAAATGTAACAAAGTGAGACCAATTTGAAGGCAGAACTTTCTGAACACCTCCTGGTATGTCTCTGATGAAGGAAAGCTCCAAGAAAGATGATATTATTGTATAAATGCTGCATGACAAAAATATTCCTTACACATAAAAAAAACACAACATTTCCATACACCTGCGCGCTCTCCCATTGCGTGTAGCCAACCGTGTTTACCATGAATCTCTCGAGCCGAAAGCTGACAGAAGATCAATGGAGCCCCCCCCCCCCCCCCCACACACATCCTGACGCCCCATCTGCAGTCAGGGGGATTCTCCTCTTTCTGTTTTCCGTGTGTCTAAACTGTGGCTCTCTCTTTTTGTAATCGCAGCAGCCACAAAACCACAAACCCTCTGCAGACTCTTGAGTGTGTTTCATATACGGACTACACTCCTGCTGATCCAAAACGCGACGGGGGGCTGTGATCTGTAAACAGCTCTGTGCACAATGAGACGCGTCCGATGGTTTGGAGAAGGAGATGGAGAAAGAGCAGGGAGTGCAGGGGGTGGTGTAGGTGTGGTGGCTGGGCTGGTGCTGGTGCTGGGGATGGTGCTGGGCTGGTGCTGGTGCTGGGCTGGTGCTGGGACTGGTGCTGGTGCTGGGGCTGGGGCTGGTGCTGGGCTGGTGCTGGGGCTGGTGCTGGGCTGGTGCTGGTGCTGGGCTGGTGCTGGGCTGGTGCTGGGCTGGTGCTGGTGCTGGTGCTGGGGATGGTGCTGGGCTGGGCTGGTGCTGGGACTGGTGCTGGGACTGGTGCTGGGACTGGGGCTGGTGTTGGGCTGGTGTTGGGCTGGGGCTGGGGCTGGTGCTGGGGCTGGTGCTGGTGCTGGGCTGGTGCTGGGCTGGTGCTGGGACTGGTGCTGGTGCTGGGCTGGTGCTGGGCTGGTGCTGGGCTGGTGCTGGTGCTGGGCTGGTGCTGGGCTGGTGCTGGTGCTGGGACTGGGACTGGGGCTGGGGCTGGGGCTGGGCTGGTGCTGGGACTGGTGCTGGTGCTGGGCTGGTGCTGGTGCTGGGACTGGGGCTGGGGCTGGGCTGGGGCTGGGCTGGTGCTGGGCTGGTGCTGGTGCTGGGACTGGGGCTGGGGCTGGGCTGGTGCTGGGCTGGTGCTGGGACTGGGGCTGGGGCTGGGCTGGTGCTGGGCTGGTGCTGGTGCTGGGACTGGGGCTGGGGCTGGGCTGGTGCTGGGCTGGTGCTGGGACTGGGGCTGGGGCTGGGCTGGTGCTGGGACTGGGGCTGGGGCTGGGCTGGTGCTGGGACTGGTGCTGGTGTTGGGCTGGTGCTGGGACTGGTGCTGGTGTTGGGCTGGTGCTGGGGCTAGGCTTGGGGGCTGGGGCTGGTATATTGGAAGTTCAGTTGGTAAAGCCTGAAGGTCATGGGTTTGTGTCCACCATGAGACCTACTTCACGACTCCCACTGGTGTCTGCTGTCGTATTGTCCTTTGGCAAGACACTTAACCCCACTTTGCCCTGGCTCTGACTGCCACCTGCCAACCCAGAAATGGATTAAGGGGAAGAAGATGGATGTATGGATGTTGGATTTGTTTTACAGACACTATTTCAATGAGATTGCACAGTATTAAAACAGGAGAACCATTTTGAGAAAGTAGTATTTGAATCAGTCTGAAACGTATTCCACCCGGTATGAAACTTCTGGATTAACACCATAAACATCAATTGAGAAACACAGTACAATGTGAACTTTTTTGTTGTTTTATTTAACCGGGAAAATCTGGACAGTGGTGATGATTCAGGACACTCAAAATTCAACAAAATTTAGTTTTTTTTATCCTTGCATTTCCTGTATTTGAACAGTTGGAATCTCTGTTCTTTGTTGGCGAATCAACAACTTCATAAAATCCTCAGAAATAACTACTGTTGTGATGTGAATTTTGAATGAATTAAACCAAATGCAAATGGTGAGGCAACAGTCTGAGTATCCACACCTCCCTCTCTGTGGACATTTTCCAGCTCATCTGGGGGAATCCTGAGCTCCAGTTGCTCCTGGGTCTTCCCCACAACCTGCTCCCAGCTCCACAAATGCATCTTGATGTACACAAAATAGAACTGGAGGTGGTCTCAAAAGTCTTTTACATAATAATAAAAACCCCATTGCATGAATACTGTACAAGAGCAGTTTTCACACAAACATAAACGTTTGGATGAAAAATACCCATCACAGAGTTGTCAGAAAAAACGTCTAAAACTCCAGAAACATAGCTGTGATAATTATACCGTAAAGATTGCTCCGTGGGTTGTAAACGGCTGTGTACCGACAGATGCGGTGGATTTGTGTGTCCTGGCATCATTTATCAGTTTTATTGCTTTCTTGTCTCGGAGCCGGCTGCCGTCACCTCTCACCTGGCCCAGTGGCTCGCGGCTAAACCTCGCTCTCGGCCCGCTTCCATGTTCACAGCAGCCAATTAGAAAGCGGCTGCCTCTCTGCGCGGTGACATTTGCCTCAGACCGAAACACACAGTGGAGGCATGTGCGCAGATTTATACTTGTGGTAAGTGCTTCTCCTTCATGCATGGGGCCGAGTGCTGGGTGGACATAAAGATCATGGCCTGTGCATCCTAAATCATTAGTTGACACTTTCAAAGGGCACAGTGCAATGGATGGGTCTTCTTTTTTCGAAGGGTTACAATTCCTTCCCTTCCCTTTAACCCTTTGTTCTTTGGTGAGTTTGATGAAGTGAGTCCATCTGCGGCTGCTCCGGTGTCAAGGTCATTTGTCACAACAACAGCAGTACACTACAGAAACCTCGATATCTCCTGTACGAAACAGTGGAGATTTCAGCTTTCAGCAAATGCAGATAGAAATAGATAGATTGATGTATACTTTGTGGATCCCTGTAAAAGAAATGCCGCAGAAACACATTCATTCATACAAACAAAACCAATAAATACATAATTATAAAAATAGCTAGCATTTTCTCTGCTCTGGTTCAAAGTAAAATGCTGAATGCTTCATTAGCATTTTTTAAAAAGTTAGTGTTCCTCCAGTGGGTTTTTACCTGATCCACTTGTTTCAGGCCATGAATAGAAGAAGAAGATGTACTTTATTGATCTCACAATGGAGAAATTCGGTTTGATGAACAGTCATATACACACATCACATCAATGCATGCAGCGTGCTGTTAAATCTACTCCTTATAAGTAAAGTGGTTTGCCCAAGGACACAACAACAGCAGAAAGCAGTGGGAGTCAGTGCAGAAGGTCTTGTGGTGGGCTTGAACCCACAACCTTCAGGCTCTAAGGCCAATGCTCTACCAACTGAGCCTCTGTTGAATCCTCTCTGCTCTGGTCTTGACCAGTGTAAAACCATGAACCATCTCAGGCAGAAAAAAGCAAGAAAAATAACAATTATAAAACACAAAACAACAACTGTTTTAGAGACACTTAGGACTTGCTGTAGTTTTGAGCACATTCAAAAGTAAAAGTGTAAATATGTAATCCTTAATGAGTGCAAAGTAGCAGACATGAGTCAATTCAGGTTTATACACTTCTTATACCGTTCAAAATCAATTCAATTATTTTTTGTATGTTTTCAAAATCACAACATCAGTCACCTCTGCAGCTCTGACCCAAAGTGCTGCTGCATTTTAATACTGGTTTTAGCTATTTTCATAATGATCTAATCATTTGTTTTGTTTGTATGAATGGATGTGTTTCTGCTGCTGCTGGACACCTGCATTTCTTCTACAGGGATCAATAAAATATCTATCTATCACGGAGGACTGTACAACACTTGATCAGAAAATCAAACCGTTGGAAAACAGGAAATGGAATAATAACAAATCGGTTCATGTGGGAGGATGACCATGTCCATAAATGTCCTTAAATGTCTCACATCATCACTGTTCTCAGACCCTCCGGCATCAGCGAGGCACAGGCCACACTGAGAGGGCTCCACTCCCACAGACGGAGATTTCTCAATTGTCTCACATATTTGACTTATATTTATTTATGTTATTAATGTCAGTAATCTTCCATCTCTTCTAAAGATTCAGAGCTCCACCTTTTGTCTCTGTCACGTCACATTTATGAAAAACCAAGTGAGAGTCCTTTTCTAAAATTCTCCTCAGATCCGTCAATGATGAAAATCGTCCCCTTTAGCGCTGAAGCTTTGTGATTCTCAGACTTTTTTACAAGTTTAGCCAAAGCCACAGAGCTCTCCCCAGACTGAAATGATTGATGTGAATTTTGATCCATAAAATAAAGAATTCAAAATAATCTACGACTTACTTTGGGGCATGTCTGACAAGTTTCATCTTTCTGAGAGTTCGCTTAGAAAAAAACACCTACAAATGGTAATAAATGTGGATGAACTGAGTGTGAAGACAGTTGAAGTTTAGATCCAGATTCAAAGTGGGCTAAACAGACATTTTAGTTCCTGTTTTATTTTGTAGTTGTCTGTTCTCCCTTTGTCTTTTTGAGTTCTACTTCCTGTTCTGTAGATGGCCCCGCCCTGTTGTGTTGCACCTGTGTCACCTCTGCCCAGTGTGGGTAATGTCCCAGTACCCACACTGCACCCTACACTCCTCTACGAAGTGTAGGTCTGAAGTGCACGTACATGTAAGGGTTTGAGTGGCAGGTTACAAGCGTGCAAAAAAAGGGGGAATTGGGACAGTGCAGGTTACGGCAGTGACTTGTGCCGTTGTGTTAGATCTGCAACATCCGAACGTTATTGCTGCGAACCGCTGCAGCAGCAGTGAACAGTTTTTAAGGCAGTAAGATCCATGCTTCTTCAGTGATCAGAGGTCACATGTTTTATTTGTTGTTGTTTTGGGGGCATATTGTGATTTGTGAAAAATCTACACTTTTCCTGGAGGATTTAATATTCGTTGTCATGTGGATGACAGATGCAAACGAAGAAAAATATCTGCGGTTTAGCAGATACCCGGGCTACTTGTGGACGGGGCCAAAGTCTCACACACGCCCCAGTAGTGAGTTGGAGTGCTCTGGCGACATCTAGTGGATCAATATTAAATGACATCAGTTGACAGCCACTACTGCTGAGATAATTCTGTGGCTTAGGTTCATGTGTGTAGCTCTACAAACATCTTAGTGTTTAAACAAGGGTGGAATGGGACTTTTAGGTGTGTAAACTACTGCTTTAAAGGTGTGGTAACAAGTAATTTTGTTAGCTTAGCCGTAGCACGAACTGGAACCCCTCCCCTCTCAAACCAAACATCCAGCATTTTCTTTTCTTGGTTACAACAGGGAGAGTGGGTGGCAAACGAGAAATTGGCATTTTATGTTCAGTCCAAGCTGCAATCACAGCCCAGACCAGGCCCAGCTCTAGGGCTCTAGGTTCTTGTCCCTTGGTCTTCGGGCAACAACCTTTTTAGAGAAAATGAGCGGAGTCAGGCTGGGCACAGGTGTTTAGTTTTCCTTTAATAATGAAAATCGAGTGTCAAAGCTGATGACTGTATACACTTGATACACCGGCAGAAACCAATGTCTTCTTGGATGATATAGAACACTAATTTCAGTGCCGGATACCACACTAAATGAAA